TCAGAACCGTGAGATCTGATCAAGGTGGAGAATATACAGCAAATAACTTTGAAGCCTTTTGTACACAACAAGGCATCAGACATCAGACAACACCAGCTTATACACCACAACTGAATGGTGTAGCTGAGAGGAAGAATCGAACAATTCTTGATATGGCAAGAAGTCTACTCAAAGCAAAGAAGCAGCCCAAGCAATACTGGGCTGAAGCTGTATCATGTGCAGTATATTTGCTGAACGGCTGCCCAACCAGAAGTTTGCAAGCTATCACTCCACAAGAAGCATGGAGTGGTCACAAACCAAGTGTTACTCATCTTCGAGTCTTTGGTTGTGTGGCATATGCAAAGATCCCAGATGCAAGAAGGACCAAACTCGATGATAAAAGTGAGAAATGCATCTTTGTCGGATATGGTGAGAGAAGAATGGGATACAAGCTGTATAATCCCATCACCAAAAAGGTAATTATGAGCAGAGATGTTATCTTTGAAGAAGATAAAACTTGGCAATGGAATGATGACCAAGAAGCAGTTAAATGGATCAGCACTGATTTGATCCTTGAAGATGAAGAAGTACCAACAGTACTTGCAGAAGGTCCAATAGTACCAGAAGATGAGCCACAAAGTCCGGTACACAGATTTCCTGTATTCAACAGGAGAAACACGCCAGAATCATCATCAATACCATCAGCATCAGCATCCTCATCAGAAGGACCAAGAAGGATGAGAAATCTAGAAGAGCTGTATGACGCCACTCAAGTAATGGAAGATACAACTCTATTTTGTTTCTTTACAGATAGTGACCCACTTAGCTTCAATGAAGCTATCACAGAAGAGAAGTGGATAAAAGCAATGGATGAAGAAATACATGCCATTGAGAAGAATGATACCTGGAAGCTGACTTATCTACCAGAAAACAAGAAAGCAATAGGTGTCAAATGGGTCTATAAGACAAAGAAGAATGCAAAAGGAGAAGTGCAAAGATACAAAGCAAGATTAGTGGCGAAAGGCTACAAACAGAGAGAAGGCATTGACTATGGAGAAGTGTTTGCTCCAGTAGCCCGGCTAGAGACAATCAGATTGATGATCTCACTAGCAGCACAACATAGATGGAAGATCTATCAACTTGATGTGAAGTCAGCATTTTTGAATGGCTTCCTAGAAGAAGAGATCTATGTTGAACAACCACTTGGATACTTTGATGATGAAAATGAAGGCAAAGTATACAAGTTGAAGAAAGCCCTCTACGGTTTGAAGCAAGCTCCGCGTGCTTGGAATACCAGAATTGACAGGTATTTTCAAGATAATGGATTTGAAAAATGTCCATATGAACATGCAATTTATGTGAAGAAAGAAGCAGATGGCAGCATATTATTTGTGTGCCTATATGTTGATGACTTGATATTCACCGGCAACAATCCTACCATGTTCGAAGACTTCAAGAAAAGCATGGTACAAGAGTTTGAGATGACAGACATTGGTCTGATGGCATATTTTCTTGGCTTAGAAGTGGTGCAGAAAGAAGAAGGGATTTTTGTATCCCAAAGCAGTTATGCCAAAGATATTCTTGAAAGGTTCAAGATGGAAAGCTGCAATCTGGTATCAACTCCAGTTGAGAATGGAGTGGAATTGAGGAAAATTAAAGTTGGAAATGTTGATCCAACTTACTTTAAAAGCTTGGTAGGAAGCTTAAGGTACTTGACATGTACCAGACCAGATATACTCTACGGAGTCGGACTGATCAGTAGATATATGGAGAAGCCAGACCAGTCTCATTTGAATGCAGCCAAGAGAATTCTTCGCTACATCAAAGGCACAATAAATGAAGGTATGTTTTATACCTCAAGTACAAATTTCAATCTTACTGGCTACTCGGATAGTGATTGGGGTAGAGATCTGGATGAAAGAAAAAGTACAACAGGGTTTGTATTTTTCGTGGGAGATACATCTTTCACATGGTCATCTAAAAAGCAATCAATTGTCACATTATCAAGTTGTGAAGCTGAGTATGTTGCCGCCAACTCAACTGTATGCCATTTAATATGGTTAAGGAATTTGCTAAAGTTTTTGGGATTTCCTCAAGAAAATCCTACAGAGATTTATATCGATAATCGATCAGCGATTGCATTGGCAAAGAATCCGGTGTATCATGAAAGAAGTAAACATATTGATACCCGTCATCATTTTATCCGAGAGCATGTAAAGAACAAAGAAGTCGAGTTGATATCCTGCAAGACAGATGATCAAGTTGCAGATATCTTTACCAAGCCATTGAAAAGAGAAGTATTTATCAGATTGAAATTCATGCTTGGAATGACATCCCTCGATTGAGTTTAAGGGGGAGATTTGTTGAAGTAAACTCAATCCAGAAGGTCAAGGAAGGCAGCCACCAGCTGTCACCGCCCAGCCACCAACCGACCAGCCGCCAGCCGCCAGCCACCGGCCGCCGGCCGCTTTCACACCGTCGGCCAAAAACCGCCTTCACACTTGAAGGTTGAATTTTCTTGTTTTGATTTCGTGTATAAATAGATAGCTAAGCTTATGCAATTATGTGTGGAGAGATTGAGAGAAACACTAGAGAGAAAGAGAGAAAGAGAGAGGGGTTGTTGTAAGCTTTTGTTTATGTTATTGTAAGCTTTGTTCTTGAAATAAAACAGTGTGTTTTATCCCCTCCGAGTGTTTCAAAGCCACCACAAGTGGTTTCTCCCACCAACAACATCTACCATCAATTGGGGCTTGGTATGAATTCCTGCAACAATCAGTCGAATTTGATTTCCGCAGCTTCATTAACAAGCACTAAGCAATCTGGCTAGCTAGTTACAAATGCTTGAAGATGTTGATACTTAATTCTAATGCAAGGATACTGATGGTGACAAGAATTATCACACCTCTGCAGCATGAGAATCAGCCTTATTGAATACCGAAGAGTTTATGGAGTTATTAAGGACAGATCTCTGACGCTCACAGCACTATTTTCATCATCTATGTCACTTGTTTGCGTCTTGAATGCAGATGCATGTCAAAGCTTGATGTAGCCAAAGAAAAAAACTCCATCCTAGGATAAGGAAACGTGTGCTTTTCAAGCGGATATAGGTTGCAGAAATGCCCTCTCCGTTCCTTGCCTATTATGAATTGCCCAAAATTGAAAGCATTTTGCAATCATTCATTAATGCGGAGAAATTCTTTATTTCAATATAGTCGCAGCCTCCTTCACAACACCTGCTATTGTCACTGTGACAGCTCTAGCAAGTTGGTATCCATCAAGTTCTAATAAGAACATGGATTAAATTGCTGAAATAATTAAGAGCATACGATTTGTGAATATTATATAATAGAAGAAGTGATGTAGAAAACTAATTTCCAATCCTCAAGCAATTCTTATAATTAAATCACAACTCTCGAATCATTTCTTCGAAAACATGGAAAACAAAAAAAAACCCCGGAAGTCCACAGAAAATTCAGTAAGAAAGGAAAACGGAAGGTTTGTGCAATGAAATATGCCAGCGCTCCCCAAAAGAAAAAAAAAATTCAGCGGGCAACCGAGCAACATGCCATGAATTATCATAGTAACTAGTTTTGCTAAATTCACGCCATGGATCCAAGACAAGAGAAATAAGAGCAGTTGCAATCGCCATCACTGGAGTCATATAGCTCATCAGTGTAAGTGGATTCCTCAAACCTGAACACATCCCAAAGCACAGTATATATAACACTTCCAATAAAATGTAAGGCCAAAATGTTACGACATAAATTGACACTTACAATCTATGAGACTTGATGCGAGCACTCTCTGTGGCCCGATGTAGTCTTGGTGCGTAATGCCACATTTGCTTTATCTTTGCAATTATGAAACCTGCAAGTATGTACGCTCGTCGTGTTTAGGAATAAACTGTACTCAAATTAACATTTCAGTTGGTGGACCACGAACCTTTTAAGATGCTCATGAACCTAATTTATCTTTTTGTAGCATTAGGTAATGTTTTAGGAGAAAAGCCTAAAACATTGGCCCTGCAAATAGAAAGGGGCTCAAAACAAATAAGAAGAAGAAGAAGAAGAATATTTTGTAGAGATGGCAGGATGCCATAGCAATCATCTTCATTTTTATCATTTAGAGGAGTATATAATCCCGAGAATGATGAGGTTTCAGTTGTTAAGAGTGCTTAGGCATTAGCCTTTTGGGTGAAGAAAAGGAATTGGAACTGATTTTGTAGAGGCGGTGGTTCTTTGAT